CATCTGTTATAGACGAGCACGCAGGATTTTCTACAGGCAGGTTCCGTTTTTTTCCGGTGCCATATAAAGGTAGTTTTCGCGTCTGTTAAATTTGTTCCTTTACTTTGGAAATAATTTTATTGAACTACCCGAGTACCTTAATCTAAATGTCCTTTGGTAGGCAGATCCGCGTTCTTGCTCTGCCAAACGTCAGTAGAAGGTTCGAGTGACTGAACTATCATGCTTTACCATTGAACAAAGATAATAAACAAACAATCAGTCCGGAATCAGTTGCCGTATTTTGCTTCTGCAAACTCTTCCTCTATTTTGTCATCTCCCTTTGTGATTATAAGTAGTTCATTTCTCTTTTACTACACCTAATTTATTGACGCTGTCGTAAAATGCAATCCCATGTCATGCACGTCAGTCTATCACATTAAGTCCCTTCAAATGGTTGTTTTCGATGGGTCCCCACTACAATGAACTCGTTTACTTAGTGAACTAGGACAGTGTAGCCAATTAATTAGATAATTTAAGTGAACCCTGCCGCCAATCATAGCCAAATAAGTCTACACCGTAGTATAGGAGTGTCTTTCATCGGCCTATTTAAATTTGAACGACTGGCTACAGGCGGCCCGTCTTCATAATTCTGGTCTAGTCCCCTGATCTCAACACCGAGTCTTCCCGATCTGGCTGTGGTCTGCTAATGACGACGAGTAAATCAGAAGTGGTTTTTCTGGACTCCCCGCTTTGCATCTGGAATATTTTAAGATACCTGATAACCCTTACCATGTGACTGCATACGTGACCTTTACACTGGAGAAAAAAACCAAAAGGGAACACCCCTGTTATGTCTTGTAGCCAGGGCAGAGCGGTGTGACTTCGAGTACTTCCAATCCCAGCAGGAAGAGTGTAGTCTCGGACCTAGGTGATGGAACTCTGCCCGACAACTAAAGAACCTCTGTTCAAAGTCTGGATTTACGGACCTTAAGTCGGGACATAGTTGGTGACAGCATGTAAGATGGAAATAGTTATTTCAGTCTTCCTCGTCTTTGGCGGTAAAAGCTTCCCAAATCTAATCAAAGTACATACTTCTTGGATTTATATCCGGCTTGCGTCCGTGCTCGGTATGGTGTCATGTGAGAGTTTTTATCTTTTGCTTGCCATTTTCTTCTGCCTTGAGGCATCGCTTCGCTTGTTTTGTATCTAGACCTTTTAGGTT